AAGATACCATAATTCCCATAGGTTAGGGCTCTTAAGGTAATGCAGGATTTCTATCATCAACAGTAAGTACTATTATGATGATTATGGTTATGCATGTTACTAGTCTTATTGAGGGCTTCCCAAATTCGGAGATGCCCCACTCCGATTCGGGCAGGGGAGTGGCGATGTTCTGAGATTTAACCCCGCCGTAGATTCAGGTCTAAGGGATGTGAGGGGTTAAGGGCTTAAGGGGTTTATGGGGTATAGGATTTTGGGGTTAGGGTTTTAAGCGTTGAGGCCTAGGTTTACAGTCTCCCTTGCTTGGAGGTTCACGGGTAGTTATAAATGGGGTTATAAGAAGGGTAACTATACTTATAAACCATATTCGGGGACTTATAACCCCAGCTATAACTACCCTACCCTGAACCCCTTGTAACCTAACTATAACCCCCACTTAGCAGTACCCATGAACATCCAAGTAGATTCAGGTTTTAAGTGTCACTTGTTCTCAAGCCAGGAGGTCCCAAGCTCCCAACGTGTGCAGAGGGGGACGACTGTCTCTGAGTGTCCTGAGGTCGAGTCGACCAGTCATTTACCTTAGTATGGTTGCCTTTGTCAGAGGATTCTCGACGTTAAGGGTATTGGGGCTTTGGAGCTTTGAGGATTTAGGGTTAGAAAGTTTTGAGGTTAGAGTTTTAGGGCTTAGGGTGGTAGGATTTAGGGATTCTTGGGTGTTAGTGTTTCAAACATTACTGACGGCAAGTTTGTTCGCGGTTCGTCATGTTCTGTCTAGGGCCATGCAAACTACACCGGGGGGGTCCTCTGGGGTGGGGCGGGGTTGGTGTTTGGGGTTTGGGGCTTAGTAGTTCCTGCTTAGGGGTTGATTCTCCCCCCCGCTCCCCCAAGCTTAGCGATCAAAGCACTCCTCTTTCCTTGCTCCCACCCAGTCCTACCCTACAGCCAAGCCAGAGGTACGAAAGTTCCCCAGCGAAATCTTGAAATCCAGACATTCTTACACCAACAGGCAACAGGCCCCTTGAGCGTAGTAGGCTTTAATCTAGGACATTTTCAGGTGAGTAGCTAGAATTATAGGAGCCTAAAAAGAAGGTCTTTATACCTTATAGAAGCCTTATAGTATAGCCTTATAGAAGCCCTATATACGCTCAACTCCCCACCTGACCTCTAGTTTCCTTTAAGTCTTACAGCCTCCGAACCTATCCTATCCGAGGTCACCAACTGGTTGGCGACGGCCACTTTGGGATCCCAGACCTTTCGTGCCTGGGCCAAAGTCGTGCCTGCCTCAGCGAAGACGTCGGAGACGTGGAGGGGTGGAGATATTTGGGGGGCGGGGGGGGGGTTCCGGAAAACTGCGCAATGCATACATATATATATACATATATTTATATATATATATATAGGTAGGTTTACATACATTAGAATATGCTGCAAAATAGTTGACCTTTGGACCATGTCTTTACAAGTGTGGTTTTGTTTGTCTCCCTGGCAGGTAGGGTAGGATGCACGTCTGATTTCTGGGTCGAAAATCGAAACTTCCTGTGAATGTGTTTCCTTGCTGGGCTCCATGAAGCTGTTGCCACTAGGATGCCGGACACTGTATTTGCCGAGCTCTCTTTCAATCCCTGCAACAGCCCCAATAGGCGAGGGGACTGAAGATCTTTGTATTCGTGCTCATGTTTGAGCTTTTAACTACTTCGAGCTGAGCTTGCGTCAATTTCACGACGTGGTCGTGGGTGTCCCGCGCCCTGAACCCGAAGCGCTACCAACCGCACAATCCCACAAGCCGAGCATCCCCAAACACTGCAGCCGAAGGCTCAGACTTTGCTGCTTCTCGCTCCTTTTACGAGTAGTTCTTCAAATTTCGCTCCCCCTTCTTGGATCCGTGCTATAGCCGTCCCATATTCTTATGATCGTCTTAAAAAGCTTCATAGGAACCCAGCGTTGAACCGAGCTCCCATGCAGATTCAGTGGCTTTCCTGCTGGATCTTGACCTTTGTCTGCAATGCTGCGGGTGCGGAGTGCTTCCGGCGAGGAGCTTTGCTCTGTGGCTAGGGAGCAGGTCGGCGTTTGTTTGGATCTGAAGCGGCATCTTCGCTCTTTGCACGGCTTCCCGCTGTGCCTTCAGCAGCTGCTGCGCCAGGGTCGTTGCCTGGAGGACGGTGATCCTGTGCACGGGGAGCCTGACGAGATACAGCTCGTTCTTCTTGAGGTCATCTCGGAGGCGCAGAGAGGTGAGGCTGGAAAGGAACTTGTGCTTGCTGCCATGTCCGGGCTTCGTGAAGCCGTGCGCCTCCTTCTGCAAGCAGGGGTGGAGAAGAATTGCTGCTGCAAAGATGGCGCCGGCGGCAAGGCGACCGCAATCCTTTCAGCAGTCCAGGCTGGTCACACGGAGATTGTACGTTTGTTGGTGGAGGCTGGTGCTGACCAGGACATGCGCGATCACCACGGCAGGACAGCTCTGATTCTGGCTGCCGCGTCCGGGCAAACCGAGATTGTGCGCCTGCTCGTAGAAGCAGGTGCTGATAAGGACTTGCGAGATAGTTTCGCTAGAACGGCTCTCATAGCTGCAGCTTACAAAGGCCCCACAGAGATCCTTCGTCTTTTGGTCGATGCCGGCGTCGACAGCGACCCACAGGATAGCTTTGGCAGGACAGCTTTGATGGTGGCAGCCTCCTGTGGCCAAGCTGGGTTTGTACACTTGCTTCTGGAAGCCGGTGCCAAAACTGACTCGATAGATAACTTTGGAAGAACCGCTTTCGCTCATGCTCATGACGCAGGCCATGCTGAGACCGTGAGCTTGTTGCAGCACGTCTCCTGACTTCTCAGCAGGCTTGAAACAGAGGGAATGATGCTTCTGCCTTTTTACTAAACGCATCCTACAATCCGGCAGTTCATAACACGCCTCCAAGAAAGCTTCCAGTGGAGACTCAGAGAAGCGAGTCTGTCAAGGTTCAGTGAAACCCCATCTCTCGGACTCTCTTGACGTCCGGAAGTTCGTGAGTGTACTTTAGAAGAAGCCTAAGTCACTACCTCTATTATTCCTTAGGGTTCCTTCTTATACTTATAGTATATTTGGGCCCCAAAACCCTAAGCCCCAATTATGAAAGGCCCCTACCTGAAGATGGGCTTTCAGAGCCCTAATGGGCCTCTGCCGGTCGAACCGGAAGGGTCGGGAACCCGTGCCGCCCGAAGGGCCCAAACCCCTACAACCCAGGCCTAAAGCCGCAATGCAACTAGGTTCCCCAGGGGGTTAAGGGCTTTTGGGGGTTTAGGGGTTCTTTAGGGGCTTAGGGTTTAGGGTTTCCTTGGGGGGTTCATGGGTAGTTATAAATGGGGTAATAACTAAGGTAACTATACTTCAAAGCCCTATTAGGGGCCAAGTATTATTACCCATAGTCTCCATTGTAGTTCCTTTTTGGGGCTACCTTTTAGGATCCTTTATATAGAATTGGTTAAAACCAAGAAAAGGAGCTACAATGGAAACTAGAGGTAAAGCCGTAATGCAACTAGGTTCCCCAGTAGGACCCTTCCGCCCTTCTTATTTGAGAAAGGTCTCCTTCTTAAAGCCGAATACTAGGAAAAAGGGTACCCTTTATTAACAGTATTCCTCTGGGTTTCAAGGTAATCTTGGTTCCCCAGTAGTACCCTTTTGCCCTTTTTCTTTGGGGGTCTCCTTCTTAAAGCCGAATATTAGGAAAAAAAGGTACCCTGTATTACTAAGGGGTTTAGGGTTTGGGGTTTAGAGCCGAATATTAGGAAAAAAAAAAGGTACCCTGTATTACTGAAGGGTTGCTGGGGAACCTAGCAAGCGAGCCAGAGCAGAACAACCCTAAGCCCCCAAACACTTCCAGGACCCTTAAACCCTAAACCCCAAACCCCAAGCCCCGAAAAAAATCCAAGACCCGAAACCCAAAGAAATTCCAGACCCTAAACCCCAACACCTTCCAAGACCGTGAATATGAACGGCGACTTCAAGAATGCAGCTGTCAAAGGCCGGGGGGGAGGGGGGGACTAAGCTTTCGGGCTCCTTTAAAAAGGGTTCCTTTTGGAGGCTCCTTTTCAAGGGCTTCCCTAAAGGGTCAAGGGTTTAGGGGTTCCTTTAGAGGTTTCCCCTTTAGGGGTTTAGGGCTTAGGGTTTCCCTAAAGGGCTTCAAACATACTTTGGCCTACAAGGAGTCCCTACAAAGATACTTTGGGGCCAAACTACATACTATGTGGGTACATGCACCCTTAGGGTTTAGTGATTGAGATGTAGGCTTTGGGCTTTTGGGGCTTCAAAGGGTGGAAGCTCATGTTTGCACAGGTCTTGTTAGCCAAGTTCACAGAGATCTTGCGCAGGGTCTCTCATGATCTTGGCTCTGAGGTTTAGGGCTGAAAGGCTTTAGGGTTTCGGATTTTTCGGGCTCAGGGTTTAGAGGGTTTAGGGTGCATAGGATTTAGGGTTGAGGGTGAACCCCAAACAGTTGGAAGCCGGATTAAGGGCAATTAGTAGTGGGATTCCCTATACAATACTTTTCGGGATTGAGGCTATTGGGTTTCCAGCTTTTGAGCTTCTGCCCAAATCCTAAACCCTGAACCCTAATCCCTAAACCCTACCCTTGCATAGGGGCGATCGAGCAAGAAGTGCCAAGCCCCAACCCGTAAACACCGCAGGCCACGACAGCAGCAAAAAGCGCCAAGGGCAAAGCCCTAGCCCAGCATCCCAAACCCTACTTGGGGGGTTCATGGGTAGTTATATTTGGGGTCATAAGTCAGGTAACGATGCTTATAACTTATGACTCATGTTCGGGGACTCCATAACCCCACTTATTAACGACCCCATGGAAGCTCCAAGTAAACGCTCTGTAGACGCAGCCCCATAAGCTCCATAGAGTCGACCCCCCCCCAAAAAAAAAAAAACA